CCCCTTCCTCTCTCTTCCCTCTGTACCTCCCAGGAAAGTCTGGGTCGACTTTTGTCTATTCCACAAAAGGCAGGTGCCATTCAAAGAAGCCCATAGGCCCTCCTTTGGTAGTTGGAATTACTGTATCGGGAAAGTTTGCGGATTTTGTGGGCACACAGATCTGGCTTGGAGTCTCAGCTTGACTACTCACTAGTTGTTTGGCCTTGGGCATGTCACAGAGCCTCAATTTCCTCAACTGCAGGCATTCAATAAATGGTATCTGTTATTAATGTTATCCTCTACCCAGAATAATAATAGGCAAGGTACCGTTAGCAGCAAGAAAAATAACTTCCTCAATCCAAATGAAGATGAAAGAGAAAGGAGTAGTTAACGAAAGGTTCAAAAGCCAAACCTAGTACTCTAGAGCAGAGCTTCTCAAACGTCAGTGGGCATACTAATCACCTGGTGATCTTGTTAAAATGCAGATTTTGATTCAGTAGGTCTAGAGTGGGCTCCAGATTCTGACTTTCTAACAAGCTGTGAGTGATGCCAATGCCGCTGGTGTAATAACCACACTTTGACAATACACTAGGGAATACAATACTATTAGCAGGACACTAGAGAACAACTCCTGGTCCAAAAAAGCATCAGGATAAACAGTCTCTTTTCATGTCATTATCCAGGCCTGGGTGTCCAGTCTTCCCTAATCTTCTCATTGCCAAGTGCCTTCCTCTTTCCATTCAGTAACCCAGCCCATAAAAGTGCTTTCCTGATGAAGTTTGCTGTTCCCCACTTCTTAACAAAATAAGGAGAAATGAGTCTGATAGCAGTCTGTCCCTGTAAGTGGCCAGGTAAGGCTGAGGAAATTATGACCAGAAGTGCAAGCATGTTCATGGGACTGCCTGGGGTAGGGTGGTGGGGTGGGTATGAGTTGATTAGTCACTAGATGAGGTGATATGATAGGCAAGTGGGCACAGACAGCATTTACTCAAGAAACCCTTGGGCAAAGGAAGATAAGAGAGGAACACGAGCAGTTTGGTCAGTTTGGCATTTCGGAAAGAGGCTGGAAGTAAAGGAGACATTCTCTCACTTAGCAGAGCTGAGTTCCAGATAACATGACCAAGTATAACCTCCTATGTTCGGGGGAAGGTAGAGATGACTGCTTCTGTTCCAAGCACTCAGAGGATAAGAACTTGGCATGGGTGCAGAGGACAGTGGGCACATGCAGGCAGAAGTGGTGGATAAGCCAGAAGATGGCTCCCAGAAGAGTCCTTGTAAAGACTGTTGTGAGAAGCAAGGGAAGGGAGGTGGACCAATTCTGGAAGGAGTCAATCTCTAGCTGCCCTAGTGAACTGTCACCCCAATCTTCTGACAGCACTACCCGTCTCTGAGTCTGGCTCCCAGCAGAGCCCTCGAGATACTTGGAGGGGGGCAGGTAGGGAAGAAGTAGAAAGAGAACCATGGCTCTGCCCCAACCCAGGGCAAGAAGGAAAATATGGCCCCTGTTGCTTGGGGTTGTGCTTACTCTGAGGTCTGGGCCATACCCCACTGCAGGCTCTTTCCTCTTTTGAAAGTGTTTAGATAAGGAGAAACACAAAAGAGTGGGCTTGATTAGGTCTGTTTACTTTCTGTGGCTCTTCCAGCCTCCCCCCAAACAGTACTTTCCACCTGCCCCACATGAACGAGTCCAAGCTCATTCAGCAGGAAGGGAAGCCCGCACACAGGCCGGGGGACAGAACAATGCATAGTTTGTTTATCTGACAGAAGAGGGGAAAAGCTGCTTGATCACCATGGAGGGATACAGAGCTATGAAGGCCCACTCACACCCCACTATTAGCTGGGGGACTTTCTAGCCTGGTGATCTGGAGACTTCCTTATTACAGACCCAACCAAGGGGAAATATGTATGTGTACGTGTATATGTGTGTCCTTGTATGTCTGTGCATGTGTATGTGTGTATATATGTGTGTATGTCTATATGTGTGTGCATCTCCGTGTATGTATGTATTTTTTTTAAAGAGAATTTTTAGGACAATGCTTTCTTGTCAGTCTGGGAAAGTTACAATCTGGGTCATCCAAGATATGGGTACTTGAAGGGCTTTTGGTACCTAGTTCTGCCTCGCCACTTCCCCACCTTTTCCATCTCCCCTCATCTCTCCGAATAGCCAGGTCAAGTTCTTTCATATAAATCTCCTGGATCCCCCACTCCACCTTCCATCTCAGGATCCATTCCTGGCTAAAGGGAGCATCAGGATAGTTAATAAGAAAGGAAGGCAACGTTGGGGTGGAAATAAAGACTCCCCCAAATGCTGTGGTGTGTGTCAGGGGATGCCTTTTGGCTTTCCAAGTAGACAGCTGTAACTTCATCTGGTTAGGCCTTTACATTTGACTTTCTGTTTTCATTTTTCCATTTTCACATTGGAATCTTTAAAACATGGGGACACCTCTTTTTCTAAAGAAGGTCGGAAGAAGGCAACCATATGAATGACACAGGAAAGCTCTGCAAATATTAGGGGCTAGAAAAATGCTTAGTAGTTTAGAAACACAGTACTTGGAATCCTCTTTCAGAGTTGGCTGGGGAGCATATTCTAGTTTTTCTATGTATAGTCTGATAAAACATATCCATCATAAGATTGTTTCTTGTCAATGATCTCAAAGGCAAGGAAATGAATGGTGCATGTTCCACAGCTCCCAAAAGCAAGGGGAGCAAGTCAAGAATCTGAATAATGAAACAGGGCTTTTTTCTCTTTCCTGCATATACAAAAGCTAAGGGTGAGATCCCAGAGGGCTGAGGGAGACTTCAGAGGAGCACACAGGGAAAACGACAAGTTCACAGAGCACCATCCATTGAGTTAGCTTCTGCTATGATTCCCAATTTCCTAAACCAACACCCAGAGTGATAAAGAAGGTGGAGGATGTTTGTCCTCCAGCTCTGGTTTCTATCAGTAATATTTGTAGCATCCCTTAGGGAAGGAGGTTACGGGAATAATACAAGATTTCCGCTCTTGTCTCTTTAAGCCAAATATCTCCTTCAGCTCAAACTCAGTATTGGAGATACTACTTTTCAGGGGAATAATGGAATCCCCAAAGTCAAGTCTCAAAGCCCTTAGAATTACTTCTGGCCACTCCCTGAGTCCTCTCTACTACTAAAGACATAAAGCCCTAGGACAACAGCCAACAATAGCAAGGATCCCAATAGAACCAAGAATACCTATTCACTACTCTGCTTTGAGCAAACATGACAATGAGGAAGGGCCAATGCTCAGAAGAGCTGGAGCACAGCGAGAAAGGTGGACAGTAGCAGGGGATGAGGTTGAGGAAGTACCAAGGCCAGGTTATAGAGTTTTCAAAGGCCAACGTAAGAAGTTTGCATTTTATTCTCAGTGCAGTGGGACGCTACTGGAGGCTGTTAAGCAGGGGACTACCATGATCTAAGTTTTATAAAGATCTCACTTGGCTGATGGATTTAGGCAGGTGAAGAGTAGAAGCCAGGAAATCAGTTTAAAAGGCTCTTATAGGTAGGAGATAATGGTGTTTTGTTCTAGGGAGGAAGCAGTGGGCGTGAAGAAGTAGAGCTCACAGTATTTGTTGATGGACTGAATGTGGAGTGAGGGAAAACGAAGAATAAGCCAGGACTTTTGGTCATCTGGCTTCTGTACCTTCTTAGCACAGAATTCACTCCTGAAACTGAGTCATCAGTAGTTCTAAAAAAAAAAAATGATTGGCAGTCTTCACCATTCTTTTATTCAAGCATTTATGGAGCTCCTATCTACATTTATGGTGCTTGGAGTGGTACTACGGAACATGCCAAAACAAAGAAGATATAATGCCGTGCTCAAGGAATTTACAGTGTGATGGAGGGTGAATAAAAATGCCTAAGTAACCACTAAACAGGGCAGGCTGTCGTGTCATAAAGGAAATGCTAACAAAATGAGAGTTAAAAAAAGGAGAAAGCACAGCTAGGTGAATCAAGGAAGACTTCACAGAGCCTCTGAGCTAGTTTTTGAAGATTCAGTATGATTTCAAGTGGAGGAGACTGGAGGGGAGGCCATGCCAGGTTTTGCATTAACAAGAGTGGGAAAAGCAGGAATATGCTGAAGGAAGGACACACAATTTCTACAAGATACACAGAAAGTAAAATTAGAATGATATAAGAACATGGTGGGCCTTACGTGTCAGGGTAAAGCATTTACTTTACATAATCCAAGAAGCAAGAGAGAGGCTTTGGAGGTTCCAGGACAGGAGAGCGACATGGTAAAAACAGTATGTTAGGAAGGTTATTCTCACAGAGGATGAATTACACGGATAAGTACTGAAAGCACAGAGAAGTGAGTAGGCTAGCACAATAGACACAATAAAAGTTAAAACTAGAGCAATGACTGTGGGGATGGAGCAGAAGGGAAGGATGCGAAAAGGGAAATAAGAGACAGAACCAGCAAGGTACAGCTACTAATTAAACATGAAGGAGAGAGAGGAGTTAAGATGACTGTGAAGCACCTGGGAGAATGGTGGTATCACTAATCTAGATAGGGAAGTCAAGAGCGGGAGCTGGCTTCAGGAGACATGAGTTTGATTTTAGATGTGAGTTTATTTGTTATGCTGTCAAATTATGTAGACAGGCACGCCCAGCAAGTAGCTTGACATCTGGGCTAGGGTGCGAGAAAGAGGTTAGGGCAGGTTATAGACATGTGGTCATTATCCACGGAGAGGAGGCAGCCGAGGCTGTTGCAGTGGATATGACTGCCCACGGTAAATGTGTACTACAGGAAAGAGGGTGGATGACAGATCTCTACAGAATAGTTATTGCTCAGATGGGAGAGGAAAAAGAGCTAATCAAAGAGACAAAACAATAAAATGCCATTTTTAATGATATTGGCAATATATTTTTTTAACTAAGTGTCAGCAAGGTTGCAGGGAAATAGGCATTCTTATACATTGCTAGGTGGGAATGGATATAGGTACACAGTTGCTAGAGGGAAATTTGCCATATGTCATCAAGAGACACAAAAATGTTCCTACTGTGCTTACTTCAGCCAACATATACTAAAATTGGAACAATACAGAGAATTAGCATGGCTCACGCACACAGGTGACAGGCAAATTTGTGAAGTGCTCCATATTTTTTCTGGAATTAGACAGTGGTAACAGTCGCACAACCTTGTGAATATACTAAAAACCACTGAATTACACACTTGAAAGTAACGGATTTTACGGTATATGAATTATATCTGTTTGAAAAAATGTTCCTACCCTTTGATCCAGTCTTTCCACTCCTAGGATTTTATCCTAAGAGAGCAATTAGAGATGCACACATTGCTTTATGTACATGAAGTGTCATCCACTGCAGGGTTATTTATAATGGTAAAATTCGGAATATCCTAACTGTCCTACATTTAGGAAGAGTTAGATGAAGTATAGTGTATCTACATGAAAGAATAATAGTCTGCCATTGAAAACTGTGTTTTTGAAGATGACTTAATGATCCTGGAAAAGGCTCACAATATAACGGTAAATGAAAAAAAGCAGTATACAAACCTCACACAGTACCAGCCCAATTCAAAAAATATATATGCATATACACATATATTCATATACAAGCGTAGACATATTAAAAGGCTGGATGCAAATGCACTAATATCTTACCAGCAGGTATTTATCTCTGTGTGGCAGAATTAAGGGTCATTTTTATTTTTTACACTTTTTAAAAATTTGAAAATTTTCTACACTACACACGTATTACTTTTTTTTTTTGAGGAAGATTAGCTCGGAGCTAACTACTGCCAATCCTCCTCTTTTTGCTGAGGAGGATGGGCCCTGAGCTAACATCCGTGCCCATCTTCCTCTGCTTTATACATGGGATGCCCACCACAGCATGGCCTTTGCCAAGCGGTGCCATGTCCGCACCCGGGATGCGAACCGGCAAACCCCGGGCCGCCAGGAAGTGGAACATGTGAACTTAACCGCTGCACCACTGGGCTGGCCCCACATGTATTACTTTTGAATGAGAAAGTTTCCAAAGAAAAAGGACATCATGCTATATGGACATACCATTTACCCTGGCAACTGTCTAATATAACTATCTGACTCATTCCTCTTAGGAATCTGAAATTATACTTGTAATTCCACTTAACTATTTCAAATAACTGGATTTTACCCTCAGGGAAATCAGCCTAGAGTCCATCAACCTAGCAAAATGCTTTCCCCAACAAATGGTTTGCTGCTTGGCAGTGGGTTCCCCTGTTTATTCCACTAATTAAAAAAAAATACTCCATCTGAGAGTTTTCTACTCCAGTGTTAGCACTGGGAGTTGTTCTTTACTGTGAGAGGTGGCCAGGGCTGGAAGAACAAGGAGCAAGTTGAGGGGAGACCAGGAAGAGGAAAAGGGAGGTCAAGTCATGGTCAGCATCAAGGCCATGCTCAATGGGTTGAAAAAAATTGCTAATCAGGGCCATCTTGGCTTTGTTTTCTTCCCAGGTGCCTGATGGACTTAGTGGGACAAAGATGGGTGGAGAGGTGACAAGGCACAGGAAAATCTGGTGTGTGTGTGTGGGGGGGGTGGCAGCAAGTACCATTTGAGACGCCATCTAACTGCTATTATTTGTATACCATATTTACAGTTCACAAAGCACTTTCATAGACACCATTCCATTTACTCCTTACAACAACCTTATAAACTCCTCTTTAGAAAACAAACTCAGGCTCAGAGAGGTGAAGTAAATCACATAAGGATTGAACCCAAGTTCTTTACTTCTATATTCCTGTGTTTTTTTTTCCCCCAAAACAGTGATTCTCATAGTTTGTTCTACAGATAAGCATCAGCATCACCTGGGAACTTGTTAGAAACTAAATTCTGGGGGCCTACTCCAGAACTTCTGAATCAGAAACTCTGGGAGTGGGGCCCAGCAATCTGAATTGTAATAAGCCCTCCAAGTGATTCTTATACATGCTCAAGTTTAGACCCATCACTCTAAAGAATGTTACCATACATTTTAAAATGGATTTTCAAATGGCTTCTTTAAAATACTGGCTGCTGCTGCTTTGACTTATGTGGTATTGTCTTCCAAGGCAGTCTGGGAGTCTCCCTTCAACTGTCAGTGGCTATGTGCATAATAGAGGGCAGCTGCTTGAATCAAATTTGGGTTCCAGCCACAGGAATATACGACTTCCTGGTCAGGAAGGTCCCGGAATCAAGAGGGCAATTCCCAGGTCACAGCTTCACTTGTTGCGGGCAGATACAAGCTGGTGAGCAGCTGCCATATATCTACCTCCCCTTCTGAAGTTTCTCTTCGTAAAGTCTTTCACATGGTTTCACATGTTCTGCATGAGCCCCCGGGAAATCCCCTGACCTCATGTATTTACATTTACAAACCTCTATTTCATCAAGCTTTTCATTTCTTCAGTTTTCAGTTGGGTTTTTTAAAGCATTTTGAAATAACAATTTAGGAAAACAATACAGCAAGTGAAGTGAAATTATTTTCCTTCTGGAGAACATGGACACCCCTACTCTCGCCTCCCAAACCACTCCCTACCCAATTTCCTCACTGCAGATAACTGTTCTCTCTCTCTCTCTCTCACACACACACACACACACACACACACACACACACACTCAATCAAACATATTCCTTCTCCTTGGGATGGAGAACAAACAAATCAGTTATTTTTTTGAAAATTGGACTTGACCTAAATTGGATTTTATATTTTGTCAAGGTGATGTTTGTAAAATGGAAATAAAACCCGTACACGGATATAGATTTAATTTGAAAGTGCTAAAGCCAAAAGACAGAATCACGGAATGAAAATTATAAAGTATTCAAAATTCTAGCAGGGAACGCAATTTGCTGTATTTCTCCTTCTACACAGGTACTAGCATTGAATTCATTTATTTATTTATTCATTGATTGATTCAATCATTCATTAGTTATTGAGAGCCAAGCAAGAACTGTTCAAGGTGCTGGGGACAAAGCAATGAACAAAACAGACAAGACCTCAGTCCTCATGGGGCTCAACTCAATAAATATAATCTGTTGGGCGGTGATAAGTGCTATGAAGACAGAGAAAGCAGGGTAAGGGGTAGACTGACTGACAGGGGTGTGTGGGGCCAATGCTATTTTAGAGAGTGTGGTCAGGGAAGGCTTCTGTTAGGAGGTGATATTTGAGCAGTGACCTAAATGAAGTCAGGGAAGGAGCTAGGCAAATATCTGAGAGGAGAATGTTCTAGGCAGAGAAATCAGCAAGGGCAATGGTCCTGAGACACGATCAGCTTGCCACAGTCCAAGAATAGTATGAAAGCCAATGAAGCTGGAGTGGAATGAGCAAGACAAAGAGGGGTAGGAAATGAGGTTGGGGAAGGAGCCAGGGGCTGAGTAGGTCATTGTAAGGACTCTAGATTTAATTCTAAGAGTGATGGGAGTAAACCCTGTGTCTACCATGTGTCTAACAGGTGCCAAGGAGTCTAAAAAGTCTGCACTATGATCTTTGCCCTCAAGAAGCTTTCAATCTGTCCATTTGGTAAAATAAGCCAGAATTACAGGAGACTTGAGAAGGCCTGGGGATTCTTGCTGTCTCATGTCTACTTGTTCCTAATCTTAATGAGCCACCTTTAGTAGAAAAGAGCTCCTAAGAAGGAAAAGGCTTGCCTCCTATGCCAATTTGAGAAGATTCTCCTGCCTTATATTTTAGGTACTTTTATCTCAAAAACATTTACAATGTTTACTATGTGTTATAAATATTAAAACATTTAATACACATAACAACCCTGTGAGGCAGGTGCCACTATTGTCATCCCCATTTTTCAGAGGGGAAAACCAGAGACTTGGAGAGGTTGAGTAACCTGCCCAAGGTCACAGAACTAAAAAGCCACAGAGATGGTATTCAAACCCAGGCAGCCTGGCTCCAGAGCCTATGTTCTTAACCACTATTCTAATCTGCCTTGCCTACAGATAGAGATAGAAGGATGAGGAGAGGGGCATGATGAATTTAAAATTGAAAATAAAAGGGAAAGTCTCCCAGATGTCCTGGGCAACCAAGAAGAGTGCTGGGGGCATATGGGAGACCTGGGGAAAAGACCCTGAGCTAGTCATGGGGGAGAGCAGGCGAAGCATGCTGCGGATACTGCATCCATGTTGGGGGTCCACAAGGAGTGTGAATGCACAGCATTCAGGCAGGACTGCTTTGATACTGGAGACATTTCCTGTGGAAGGCTGAGAGACCATGGAACTTTAGGGTATCCTGACCTGCCCAGTACAGAATACATAATGACTAATAGCCTGCAGCCAGAGAAATCTGCGTAGAGGAGGTCATGCCTGAGGTCTGGTCTTGAAGGAAGGGTAGGAATTGGCCCAGATGAAAGGTACTACTGCTGAAGGAATAGAACGTAAAAATCATGGAAATGTGAGGAAAAAATGGTGCCCTGAGGGTAGGATGTATGAGAAGGGGTGGTGGGAGATAAGGTTAGAGGGGCAGACTGGGCCAGCACACAGAAGATCTAGGTTGCCATGCTAATGAGTTTGGACTTTTCTCACAGGCACTGGGGAGCCAGTGAAGGATTTTAAGCACAAGAGTAGCATGACCAGATCTGTATTTTGGAAAGGTGTATCTATCGGCATTTTGTAGGTAGAAAAGAGGCAGGTGGACCAGGTAGGAAATGAATGTTATAGTCCGAGTGATCTATGATTCAGGGATAGAGGGGATAGAGTGGAGAGGCAGATTTGAGAATTGTCTTGTCTAGGAGGCAGAACCAATAAGTCTTGGTGCCTGACTAGACAGATGTGAGGGGTAAAGAAGAGGAAGGAGTCCAGAGTGTCTGCTAGATTTCTCACTTCAATAAATGATTCAGCCTGTCACCAATACCAGCAGAAGAAGAGTAGGGAGGGGAATTAGTCTAATTTTGGCCAAGTTGATTTTTAAATATTTCTGATATTTTTTAAAACAATATTTGCAGAAGGCAAACCATTCAAATAGTACAAAGGCACATACAATGAGAAATAAGTCCCCCACACTCCAGGGGAAACCACCAGTAACAGTTTCTTGTTTATCCCTGAGCAGCAGTATGGCATAGTGTTAAGAACATAAACTCTTGGAACAGACTGTCTGGATCTCAATTCACCATTGCTAGCTGTGTG